TCACCAGCTGAAAGCTTGACAGTGGTTATTGTTGCCTGAAGATAAGAGTATATAATAGGAGGTCCTTCCACCAGCAGAGCAGTTTCCCTTCCAGAAACATTTCTAGCCCTTTCTACCTTACCTCTTGCTTTCACTTTCTGAAATGTACTAGGTTCTCCACTCAGGGCCACACTGTTCTGTTCTCTGAAAGACTTGTCTTCCCTTCCTGCACAACTCCAACGTGTCCTTCTCAACTCAGACATTGCTTTTTCCTGGGCATCTTCCATGATTACCCCAAGATTGGCTTGGGCACTCTCTGTTTTCATGGCCACTGTGCTTGGTTCCACTAAGGCACTTAGCACGTTGCCATGTGGTTATAGCCCGATGTTTAAAAGAATTGACTTTAAGCCCTGACGTCTGCATCCAAATCCTGTAGTCCCGGTCAAGTTGTTTAATGTACCTTATTGTGGTTTCTTTATCTCCAAAATCAGGATAATAATTATACACACCCCATATGATTACAATGATCGAGGAAGCTAATGTATATGGTACATTTTACACAGATATTGGAGATAGTCTATTATAGTGCTGGATACATGATAAGGGCTGTGCACATGTTAGCGTTATTAGGACTGTATTATTATGACTGCATCTCTGTTAGGCTGTAAGTTGCTTGAGGTCAAGGACTGTGTATCCTTAGCATCAGACATGGCCTCTTATACACAATAGGGATTTGAAAATATTTATTGAGTGAATAAAGAGTGAAGTGTTTGTTTTTAATAAACAAAAAGACACCATTTGGGCTGTTTCCTTTACAGAGGCAAAGTCCCACTCTGTCACCCTCAGTTTGTTATTTTGAAAAATGAAAGAGTTAACTTTTATCATTCCTCCAGTGATATTAAGGAATACAGTCTCTTGTGGAAAATTAACAAAGTATGATGAAAGACTACAGAAGAATATACTCTAAGAGTGAAATAGAATTTCCCCAGGAATAAGCCTTTTGTTTGTTATATATATATATGTATATATATATACACACACACACATACACACACATATATATATATATATATGTATTTATATGTTACTTATGTTACTTTGCTGGTATTTTTTAAAAAGCAAAGCCAAATTTAAGAATTTTACAGTCAGGAGATGTTCATAATGTATTTTTCTCCAAATTTTGCTTTAATTAAATGATTAAAATCATTTAACTAAATTTCATACTATGGATGAATTATATAAACATATGGGGGCTAAAAACCCTAAAAAATAATCTTCTTTCATTGATTAGTAGACTTTTGTCTATTCATTTGGTATATGGTAAAGTAGCAATCAAAAACTTTTATGAAAAAATTATATTTACACATTTTCAACTAAATTCCGATTTATCTCCTTAAACCAAAGACATTTATTTCCCTGCATTTGCTTATTCCTTACATGCAGTAGAAATGACACTAACTCTTTGGCCTAAAGACCATATCCTCTTTTTATGGGCGTCTGAAGCAGTAGCTAAAACTCAGCATCACTTCCATTGGGTGATGGATTCTGTGTCCACATCTATAAAAAGTTATGTTTTCAGTAAAGACATTTAAGAATAAACTCACAAGTAGTGAGTAGGGGTTTTATATATCAGTTTCTTGTGGGCTTCCCTGGGACATGGGTTCGTGCCCCGGTCCGGGAGGATCCCACATGCCGCGGAGCGGCTGGGCCCGTGAGCCATGGCCGCTGAGCCTGCGCATCCGGAGCCTGTGCTCCGCAACGGGAGAGGCCACAACAGTGAGAGGCCCGCGTACCGAAAAAAAAAAAAAGTTTCATGTATTAAGTAGATGATTAGGTAAGCTTTATTATATCTTTCAATCCTGAAATTTTATGATTCCTTAAACAGAGCACAGTGTCCAACGTGGTCATTTTACTAGTGGCTGTTTACAGCATCTGTATTATAACTGCATGAAGACCGGGGCCATGACGGCAAACATTTACCAGGTGTGCTAGGAAAGCGCCTCCAATTTCAAAATAATTCTATTTCAGAGTGAAAGAAAAGCTGCTTCATCTTTCTCAGAAGTATAAAAATAAAACTTAAAAAAATAGCCTTTAATTGGGGAATAGTTTTAGATTCACAGAAAAGTTGCAAAGAGAGTTCCCATTTACTTTTCACTCAGCTTCCTCTAATTTTAGCATGTTACATAACCACGGTCCATTTGTCAAAACTGAGAAATAGTCATTTGGATTTCACCAATTTTTCCATCAATGTCCTTTTTCTGCTGCAGTGTCTAATCCAGAATACCACACTGATTACGCGTTATGCCTCTTTAGTCTCCTTGGATCTGTGACAGTTCTTAAGTCTTTCCTTGTTTTTCATGATCTGGAAATTTTTGAAGAGTTACTGGTCAGATGTTTTGCAGAACGGCTTTGAATCGGGGTTTGTCTGATGGACCAGTTGAGTTGTGATGCTCTTTCTTGAACATAGATGCTAATCATAAGTAATTTTCAAGAGAATTTTATTATTAAAACTAACTTCATTTAGGACTAATTTACAATAGTATCACTCAGCGCATGCGATTTCATTCTCACAGTGATGCTGAAGCCTGGGGTTCTGTGACTCTCAATGACATATTTTCCACTCTGCAGCTAGACTGTTAACACAGGGCTCTGTCCTCATCTACGTGGCATTGGCCTCCCCTCTGCAAAATTCATGCAGTACCTACATCACAGATCCCCTTACACAAATATTAATGAATACAGATTTCCTTATAGGAACTTCCAACCGGTATTTGCTGTAGCCTTTCTGTAGCTGGTTGTTTCCTACCTCAAATTTGCATCCCTGGCAATGAAAACAGCTACCTATTATTTGGAATGTTTACTATGAATCTGAGGCTTTACATATCCCTAATCTTCACCACACCACTGCCAGATAAGTCTTACCCACCCAGTTTTTAGATAAGAAGGCAAAGCTCACTCCCAGGACCTAAATCAAGGGATGCGAGGCAGAGCCTCTGAGTCCCCTGCCCTGTTACCCTGGACCGCAGGAGCACGCATTTTGTCTGGTGGCCATCCGGTCCACGATAATTCTATTATGCCTCCTGCCTAGCCCCCCACAGGACATATATTAAAGAAATAGTGATCTTGAAGAGATACTGCTTGGGAGAGAACAAGTAGAGCAGCGAGAGAGGGAAATGATCCGTATCAGTCAGAGACTGAGGAGAGAGTGTCAGGATGCTACATAAAGGGAGGACTAGGTAACTAAGCACCTCAGGGTCAGACTAGCAGGGTGAGGGCTTAATTGACATTAACTACGGTCATCATCACTATTATTATTCCTGCTGCCATTTCTACCATTGGAGGGAAGCTCCAAGTGATTTCAAGTATTTTCTCATTTTCCTAATTCTTCATTTTATATTCTTCATTTTTAAAAGATGTGGCTATGTGTTCTAAGATACTCAATGGGTCCACTGTTCTGATTTATTATAAATATATCAGCACATTATTTAAGCATCCACACGTTTAGGGTGTTGTATAATGTGATCCTTACCTTCTGAAAACATAGCTGCTGTGTTCCTTTTTATATTTTTTCAATCTTTGTCTCAAAACCAATTAGCAGAAAATATAGAGATTAAATGTAGTTTTAAATAAATTTCTCTCAGACACACACGATTAATATTAATTTTCTAATTATAAATATAATGGATTCATGATAACAATATAGACACAGAAATGTGTGAGTTAGATGGATAATAATGTAAATAGTTGATAATACTTAATAGTTGACATAATGAGGCATACGCTTCTAGACTCCTTTCCCCATGCATACACCAAAGTGACTGTATTTAATTTACCCCAAATTTTAATTGTACCTTATGCTGCAAAACCACACTATCAGAATTCCCACTCCATTTTTGGAGACTCTGCAGTGCCCCATTAGTTTGCATAATTCTATAAAATAATGTATTAACAGTCATATAGCACGTGAATTTCACCTAACTGTTTCTCTAATCTGAATGCCTGATTTCAGTTATAACAATTTTTTTCCAGTCATCCTTGGAAAACTTTAAATATTTCTCAATTCTACTCACTTTAAGGACAGTAGTTTTTGACATGGAATTAATTTTTGTGAGAAACAGACGTCTAAGTTTTAAAGAAAATGTAATTTTGTTGAGGTAGGCGAGAGGCTGTGAAAGAAGTATTTATTATAGGGGAAAAAAAAGCCCAGCACTTTCTCACTAAATGTGCCTCAAATTTACCTTTATCTCATTCACATTTAACTTTCATTCTTTAAAAAGGTATATGACATTGATAATAACTCATTAACCATAAGAATCTACCTAATTTTGGCTTCACCTTCCTTCTCACTAGGATCAACTGGAATAGATTCTCATAAAGAGACAAAATGATGTAAAAAAAAATGACAATAAATCTATGAGCTTCTCATGAGATTTCCCATAAGAATGATCTCAGCCCAAGTATGCTTTTGGTTCTATGATATTAACTGATATATTGGGCCAAGATCTGGATTTCCTTTGTCATAGATCAGGCATAAAAATTATTTTTCTATCTCTGTAAATTAGGTATGTCATGAAAATATGTTAATGAATTAATAATTCAAAACTCACGTGGTCTGTTTTCCCTGGACAGTTTTATCACTACAAAAGGAAGGCAGGCATCCCTATCCTATTTTATTTTATTTTATTTTATATATATATATATATATATATATATATATATACATATATGTATTTATACATGTATATTTTTTGGCCGTGCAGCTTGCGGGATCTTAGTTCCCTGACCAGGGATCGAACCCGTGCCCCGTGCAGTGGAAGTGTGGAGTGTTAACCACTGGACCACCAGGGAAGTCCCCAGGCATCCCTACCCTTAATGCCCCCCCACTGGCTACATTCCTGGTTCTAAAATGGGTGGGCTACACCTCAAACTTGAGGTTATGGATGCTCTGTGAGATTAAAATTGCACCTCAGTGTGAAAAGTAAGTAAAAGACATGGCTACAACGAGAAACAGACCAGTAACAAGTCATTTTATTTAGGCCACTGCACATCCACCCTCCAACGTTGTAATCGTTGTTGCTGTGTTTTTTAACAACTTGATTCAGTCCAACCAGTTTCAGTTCAGTACATGGAGAGTTGACGTGCTGTCTGGGCACCCAGGCTGGCACTGCACATGTCAAAGACTCAGGCCTAAGGAAACAATGCCCTGAGGTTTTAAAAGGGTGACAATTTTAGCATAGCTTGAACCTAAGCCTACGGTGTTCTTTTGACTTTGGGGAATGCCTCAGCCCGTCGGTAAGGAGAAACAGTGAGCTGAATGTGAGTCTGGAAAGAGGCCATGCCTGTCCATTCTTTTGTACAATTGTCAAACTTAAGATCTGTGTCAGTGAGTGAGGGGCTCTGGAGTCGTGTTCTGGGTGATGGCCAGGAAGCTGGGTCCCAGATAGCATGGCGCTGGTGTCTGAGCGCCTTTGGGAAGGGGCACCTGGGATCCAGAACCCATGGGACCCAGCCGTTTCCACTGCTTGCCCCGAGATGGAAATCACAGATGATAGGTCATTGGAAAACCACGTGTTTTTGAGGTCTGGTATCTTCATGGTCACTCATAAGCCTTGCTTTGATAAAATTTTTTCAAAGCCCTCCAAGGGATGGGGGGCATGCAAAAGGAATATAGAAAATGCAGCACTGGATATGAAAAGCACATCCAAGCTAAGGGAACACGGAATGCTATATTCTGGGTGTGGAACTCAGATTCTTTCCTTTCTTGCCCAGCACAAGTTGCATTAACCATAGAAAAAGTCTGCAAACATTCATAATTCAAGACAGTAGGCACATATAGATTCTTACCCAACCCATGATGAAAACTAAAATGAGATTTTGTGTGCCAATTAAATAAACAGATGGCTCAGCCCTGAGAGCCTCTTAAAATGGTAGTTTTAACTACCACAGGATTCCTGACCCTCATCTGAAAATTATGACCACTGATGGCCACTGAGTGTAAAAGGCAGAGGGATGGATGGGTGTTGCTGTACTGAACATTTATTCAACATCACCTGTGTGCTTGCTGTCCATTTTGGGAAGCCCTCTGCGAGTATTACTCCATCTAATCTCCTATGTACCTGTACATACAATAGGTGTGGTGGTTCTGTCTCTACATACAAGGAGAACAAAGCTCACAAATACTATTTAGCCTGTACAAGGTCCTAACTGGCTGAGCTAGGATTCAAAACCAGGTCAGCGCGAATACAATGCAAAGCCCAGTTCGTTATGGGTATAGTTTTACATTCTGTTCTTCAATGCATGACATAAATAGAGATGTGTGTGAAAATTCAAAAGCACATGAAAATGACAAGAGGAACCACAATACCATTTCATCTTATGAAATGAGAAATGACACATACCATATATTACAATGAGTTTCAAAATTATATTGCTCAATGTTGTCTTACCAAGTACAAAATATACTAAGACTAAAACCCAAGATATTTATTATTTACCTTCCGTAGATTAGCCACTGTGTAAACTGCAAGGGATGACGATTCACCAGCACCTTTACGAAACACAAATAGAGTTAATAAGTCAAATGCCCAAAGGTGATAATCATGGTGATGATGACAAAAACAGTGATTAGTATCATTTTTTGAGTTCCTAAGTGAGGAAGGGCTCAATGACCACTTAAGGGTTCAGTGCACTTAAGGGCTTCACAGACATTGTCTTACCTAATAGCCGTACAGCCCTATGAGCAGATATTATAGATTAACGGGAGAAGAACTGAGGTTCAGAGAGGGTATGTCACTTTTCCAAGGTCACACAGCTAGAGAGTGGCAATGGAGAGATTCAAACCCTCCTGTGCTGGTTCCAAACATCTATGATCTTAACTGGAACATTCCATGTAAAGAGATAACTAACTAGATAAGTCGATTTATCATATGCATCCCCAAGAGTGCTACACATCATTATTATTCTAAATGTTAGAAGACTTTGGTGGCCTGAGGGGACCAGGAAAATTGTCATGAAGTTGGATTTCGAATCAAGTCTTGGGGAAGGCTATGAATCAGGGTCATTAAAAGAAGGAAAGATATCCCAGGCTAGGGTAAAATTAAACTGAAAGGGAGAGAGGCAGCGTGTGCTGAAATCCTATTGGGTGACAATACATTGTGTTTGAACTGAATTTGAAATGAAATAAGTGATTTCATTAAAGAATATTGATAATGTTATTGAAAAGGCAACTTGGAGATAGATTGGGAAGGACTTTCAATAATAATAGTAAAGATTCTGGAATCTTCTACTAAAATATTTTAGCGATAATGAAGCATATCACTACATTGTAAAAGTGGACTCGTGGCACTACCTAAAATGCACGGGGGGTGGGGGGAACTTCCCTGGTGGTCCAGTGGTTAAGATTCCACGCTCCCAGTGCAGGGGGCACAGTTTTGATCCTTGGTCCGGGAACTAAGATCCCACGTGCCACATGGTGTGGCCAAAAAAATAAAATGCATGGGGATAGGGGGAGTCATGGTTTAGAACTGAGTATAAAGGTTGGTGAAATAGGATAGGATAAGTAGTCAGACTAGGGGAAAGCACAGGGAAAAGGAAAGAAGCCCAGACCCCAGATACTAGATATTCACGGACTATGTACCAAAGTTCGAGAATAAAGTGAAATGGATACTCTGTATCCTGCAGTCCCAGGAGGTGGCCTTATGTGGTTAGTAAAAACATGCAAGAGCTTTGGTGTCTGGTAGGCCTGGGCTTGAGTTTCTGCACTGTTACTTATCACTCTATGTATTCATTGAATTCAATTTATACAAACTGTCAGCTGCCTCATTTCTAAAACAAGCATAATAACACCACCCAGAGATATTCTGAGGAGAGTAGGTATTCCAAAAACATTCCTCTTTTTACTCAAGAGAGAGAAGGTTCCTGACATAAAAAGCCACGAGAAACCGACCCAATATGAATCTTTCTGAAAATCTTCAATAAAAATGATCTCATGGCATTTTCCAGGGTAGTTAATTTATGGATGTTCATATATTATTTTAATATTTTCTACATCATAAGCTAATTATCTTTAGCTAAGACCTAAGACCGTTGGTAGAAATACTCAGCATGGAAAATGGTTACGGACCAGGGCTGAAGTGTGTCGGTTAACATGGCAAAGGTAGCAAAACTCACCTGTACGTTTCTGTGTTCTCAGGCGTGAACTTTCAGGAGACTTCAAGTGTGATATTAAGGAAGTCACTTAACTTATTTAGCTCAGAACATTTGCTTGCAAAGGGTGGTATGTGGTATGTCATAGTGGGAGAGTAACATCTGTAAGTGATGATAAAGAGCTGTGTGCTTTGTGAAATATCCTCACCTCCACTCTGGTCATTTCATAATCTTGAGGTTAAAGGAGTGTGAATTCTATTTACAAATAAGCACGTTTGTCTTACTTTTCTCTTTGGAACCTGTTTTTTCCAAGTTGCATTATGTAATGAATGAATCCAGTTTCACTGCGAGCCCAAGAGAGGGTGACTTTTTATGTTACTGAAGAGACGATTGGATTTAACTTTTTTTTTTCTCACTAAAATATGATTTGCGGGCTTCCCTGGTGGCGCAGTGGTTGAGAGTCCGCCTGCAGATGCAGGGACACGGGTTCGTGCCCCAGTCCGGGAAGATCCCACATGCCGCGGAGCGGCTGGGCCCGTGAGCCATGGCCGCTGAGCCTGCGCGTCCGGAGCCTGTGCTCCGCAACGGGAGAGGCCACAACAGTGAGAGGTCCGCGTACCGCAAAACAAACAAACAAACAAACAAACAAAACATATGATTTGCAAATGCCTTTCAAAACGAAGTGCTTCCAAGCGAAACAAATCATCGTTCTAATCCTCAATCTTCTCTTTGAAACACCTTTTCATTGAAACAAAAACAAATCACCCTGAACTTCAGTTTTGCTGCAGGAGCTCATTGTCTTATCAGCCGGCTTCACCATAAACTATAAACTAGAGACGTTGTGGTTTAACTCCGAGATGGGGCTGCTGCGGCCGTTGCCATGGCAACCCGCTGCACCATTTGCAAAGGCTTGTGCGCTTAACCGCACCAGCTACACCTCTTCCTTTCCTATAAAGACTCAGAAAAAGAAAAACAGAAGTACCCCGAGGAGGAGAAACCACAAGAGCAGAAAAGCCACCGGTGTGCTCTTCGCTGTGCAAACAGCCGTCTGGCGAGGAGAGCGTGTTGAAAACCTATTCTATCTGAAAGGGGAGCTTTTCCCGTTAGGCGCGGTTCCTTTAATGATTTTGAAAGTCAGTCGAGTGTTTCTCTTCGGAGTTTTCAGCAAGGGGAAATGAGAAGAAGTTAGTAGCGCGTGTATCAGACTTTGCTTTTATTTCCCTTCCCTTCTGGGCAGCCTCGGCCGACCCTGGGATGCTGTTTGCAACTCTACTCCAATAAAAATTCATTTAAAATAAATAAATAAATAAACCAACGGAAGGCCAGTTGGTTAGGCGGAGTCCCTACAGTCTAGCGTGGATCTTCTGTTTATCTCTTGTTATCTTGTACTTAGTTCACCAAAAAAAAGAGTATGGTTTAGATTTCACTCCTGATTCGTCTAAAACAATCTGCGGATGGTGTTGCCAGTCGCTGGCCTTGACGCAGAACTGAGTCAACGCGCAGCCCCGCCCCCAGCTTTCAATGACCCGCCAACCGGGAACCTGCCCACCGTGTCTCTCCCTCTCCCCACTTGTTTTAGGAAACGTAGGTTTGATCAGCACAGTCCTTTTTGTTTGTTTGTTTAGTTTTAAAGCATGCCCGTAATAACAGTAAACCATTTTCAGGCGTGTTCTATTTTTCCTTCCTTGAGGATTTGGGTAAAAATACTGAAGGATAAGGTCCCAGCTTGGTTTTAGTTTGTCTGAGGTCTGTTCACATCCCCTCCCCGCCTTCCCAGCTTCTCCACCCTCCAACTTTTCTCTAAATAAGAATCTACCTCTTTTAATTTGCACTTTTTAAAAACACATTTCAATGTGGGACTTAACTCTGAATCCCATTTTGATGGTCCACACGTGATATTTTACTCATTTGGGGTCTGTTTAGAGTAACTGCTGGATTTAGCGTTAAATATCTTTCCCTTATGGCAGTGTGTAGTTGAACAAGTGTGACGCTCTTTAAAGTCAGATCTGCATTTAAAACCAAACTCCTCTTGCAATGAGCTCTTTAGCCTTGCATAGATTTATTTATTGAGCCTTCCTCTGTAAAAAGAGGACAATGCTATCTACTTTGTGGGGTGTCTGATTAAATGAAGTAATACATACATTTATTTATCATAGTGCCATTCACACAGGAGCCGGTTATTAAATAGTAAAAACTATTAATAGTACTAAAGACACTAGTAAAATAATTTCACGACTTGTGCAAACATCCTTCGATGACTCTTTGAATTTCTTTGACTACGATCTTACCCTATCCTAGAGAAAGCAAAGAGCTACAAAAGCATGCTTACTAAGAGGTTAATACAATTAAAAAGTTTTTGCTATCTGGAGTATATTTTATAAATGTGGTGTTTATCCCTGGATTTCAATAAAGGAAAACAGACTTTTTCATAAGAAATAAAAAGACATTTAATACATAAATAAACCTATTCTGAGAAATGTTTTTACAGAGTCAGTGTGTGAGGAAGTATTTTCACCAATTATTCTTAACCCTGGTTCCCCACCATCATCAGAGCTTTAAGAAAATACCAGCCCACAGATCCCTGCACACGTGGAAAAAAATGGGTTTGTGTCAAATGCTTTTGAGAGATTCTGGGTTAAACAGCTGCATAAATTTTCTCTTTGCCTTTACTATATTAACACACTTTATATATCTCTCCAGGGGACATGTAGCATGAAATACTTCTGAAAAAAACATTGACTATGGGCCATTTTAAGACATTCAAGTCTGAATCAAAGACTCCAGGTTGGCCATCAATACCCAAGAAGTGATAATCTCGTTTTCTTTTCCCCCATGACTTATAGATACATATTTTAAGATAGAAAGTAAGGCAAAATAACCAATCTTTTATAGATGGTCATCTTGCATTTATTATTATTTTTTCTTATTTGTTAGTTAATTACAATGGCTAAAATTGATAGCATGTTTTAAGCCAAATATAAAAGACATATAAATGCACACCTAGTTTTAGAGGTGGATGTGTGTGTACTCACACGTGCTCACGTGTGAACAAGAATATTTGTGATGTGGCACATGACAGTTGTTTGGGAGACAGCCAGATATGACTGGTTTATTTATTTATTTATTTTAAATTAATTTTTATTGGAGTAGAGTTGATGTACAATGTTGTGCTAGTTTCAGCAAAGTGGATCAGTTATGCATATAAATACATCCACTCTTTTTAAGATTCTTTTCCCATATAGGTCATTACAGAGTATTGAGCAAAGTTCCCTGTGCTATACAGTAGGTCCTTATTAGTTATCTATTTTATATATAGTAGCATGTATGTGTCAATCCCCATCTCCCAATGTATCCCTCCCCCACTCCCTTTCCCCCTTGGTAACCATAAGTTTGTTTTCTACATCTGTGACTCTATTTCTGTTTTGTAAATAGGTTCATTTGTACCACTTTTTAGGATTCCACGTATAAGCGATATCATATGATATTTGTCTTTCTCTGTCTGACTTACTTCACTAAGTATGACAACCTCTAGATAGCTAGATATGACTGCTGTATTTAAAAAAATTAAGAATTTTAAAATTTTATTCCACTCCAAGGCCAAGTGCATTTGCCTTATTTATCCTTAACTGAATTTTACAAATTGATACCTTTCTTTCTTATTTGTGTTTTTTTCAAGTGTGTGTGTGTGTGTGTGTGTAGAGTTTACACACGACTGTAAGTTCTATAGTAAAAGACAATCCTTTGCCCCCATCCCACCCCTCATCCTCCATCTTTCCAGAAGCAAACACAAAGATATTTCACCATTTCTAAATGGTATTGTCTGTTGTTCTGCAGTTTCTTTTTCTTTTTTCCAAAGATTTTAGCCAGTATCCATTGACTTCCTTTCTTCTTCTTGGAATGTTGCTTTTTAATACCCCTTGTTTTGTTCATGCATGCAACGTTGTCTCATTTCTGAGAAGATGAATTATAGTTGGTTTTAGCGGTTTGTGTTCTCCTTGAACTGTCTTGTTTCTCCCAGGCCTGTCTTCTGTTTATCTTGATCTCTGTCCTTCTTCTTAGAGTCTTCAGTCTAAGTTTCTTGGAAGTAAATTGTATTTCAGAGTGAGGTTCCCCAATAGGTATGTTGAAATTCTGTCATAATTGACGGAGCTTATAAGTCATGGGTCTTACTAAATGGCATGAAATCAGAAAGGCATTTAAACTCAATGAGACTTAGTTTCCTTATCTATCAAAGGAGCTACATGTCAATAGATATTAAAATCCTATGTTTCTATACCAGTTGAAATGTCTAAAATTATTTTCTGGTGGTCAGCAGCTCCAGGCACTTATAACAATATAAGCAATGTTTTAACACAAATCCTGCATGAAGCATAAGAAAACTAGTATTGGATAGACTCCTTCACACCTACCACTTCCTAGGTGTGTGACTGATCAAGCTCCTTGAAGTATCAGTTTTGTTCCCTATAAAATGGGAAAAATAATTGCTAACTCATTGACTTGCTGGGATGATTAAGGGCAAAAACATGTAAGGAGGTTTGCATAGTGTCTGATACATAACATTTCAGAAAACTCTGGCTATAATTATTATATTTACTGGTGGAGGGAAGGAAAGACTACTTCCTATGATTCTCTGAAATCCAGCTAATGCTTTGTTTGTCATTTGCACAAAGGACTTACTCCACAGGTACTTAGTAATTTCATGCATTTATTGGATTTGCTGTTTGTGGACCATATATCACATTTACAGAATAAGTAAAGGTAGAATCCTTTTATTTTTATTTATCTGCTTTATTATTATCCTGCCTTAGTAAGCAAGGAAAACCATACGTACCTCTTTTAGTTGACCTGTGTTTTTTATCTTGATTTGCTTTTTCCATTTTTGTATTGCCTTTATGTTTATGGAGGTCAGGTGTGCATTCTCAACCTTCAAAACATGAGACCATACATTTTAGGCTGGATGCTGAAAATCAGCATTCATTTCATCTCTTCTGTTTCACCCTTCTGTCCTTGTACTTTTCTCAGATTTGCTGAACTAGACAGATTTAATTCCCTTTGGAAATGGTGTTCCATTCCTTCTGAGGAAGTGGGGGGTCAGGGTGGTGGGTGGTGACGGGAACAGTTGGTATTCAAAGCCCAAGCATGTCTTTTGAAATGTCATTTTCACTCAATTGATTCCTAGTTTTTGCTGAAATCTCTGATGGGGGACTTAGGGGTGCAACTTCAAGGTAGCTTTGATTTGCAATCACTTGAACATTTTGAGTTGTAAAAGAAACATATTGGGAAAGGTAAATTCAATAACAAGACACGTGTTAGAATAACACAGCTCTGAAGATCAAGTGGTCTGTTAACTACATTTTCATTTGTTTAATGTACCTAGTCAATTCCATGGGTGATTCACAACAGGATTATAACGCTGGGGAATGAGTTGCAGATTTTTGGTGCTGTGGTGCCACC